TTGACGAGCCCCAATAAATGTTTTGAAAAATGTATATTTTAAAATAAAATAGAAAATGTGCATATATATATTTTTTAAATTTAAGATTTCGTTGTAGTGGCGTAAAAAATAAAATAAAAATAAAAAATAAAAAAGGGGCAAGCTCGGCTCGTAATGGCAACGAGCCTAGCTCAAGCTGGGCTTGTTGCCAACGAGCCACGAGCTCGGCTCCTGCTCGTGCGACAATCCCGGCTTGGCTGACACTACTATATTACAGTCGCTCACTATCGTAGTCACCCTATGTAGCATACATGTAGCGGTTAATAATTTGATGTAGGAGGCAATAAAAAAATTAATACATCGAATCACTAATCTTCACGTGTATGCCACGTATAGCGAATACGATAGCGAGCGACTACAAATAATATTATTCTTATTTTTCTCAAAACAACGAAAACATTTTTTTCTAGGAGATATTTTTCATGCTAATCAAACATACTCAAATGTTCTTTCAACTCTGTCACTATGTTTTGTTTTTTTTTTAAATTGCATGTATCAAGCGTAAAGAGATGTCTTGAAAATATAAATAAACAATAAAATTCGATCTTTAATGATAAGAGTGTTGATACATGATTTTAGTGGTAATGTTTCATTTTTGTCAAAAGTTTTGCTGAAATTTTGTCAAAACTTAAAATTTTCTCCCTTGAATCGAAGAGGGACTAATGTGTTAAATTTCAAGAAAAAGTTGACCATCTACATACGTAAAATTAGAGCACTGATCAGTCCAATTGTACGATATAGCACAAGCTAGAGGGAATGGCTGAATTTATAATCATATTACAAATAAAACCATAGAATACATAAGAACAAGAACAACAAGCTCAGAGATTTTTAGACACGGACTTTACCAAACCCCTTGTTTATTCACCAATACATAATATTATTATAGACATCCCAAGCAATGGCATCATGCCATGATTGTTTAGAACTTTTTAATTGGGCTTGGCAAGATGGTGACTCTCAATATCTTTAGTAACAGCAAGGCAGACGTCCATCAATGTGTTGGGATCTGGGACATTCTCGTTCTTCTTCTCATACTCCAAAGTCCATGTTACCAAGTTGTCGTCTCCATTGGTGTCTACATGGATGGTTAGTGTGAAGTTATTGTATAACTCCATGAGGTCTCCTTCGATGACCCTGTAGGTCACAGACTTCTTTTCCACGTCTATTGCTTCAATTATCTCTTTTGCAACCCTGTCTTTCCCATCTGTAGCTCACAATCAAAACTATTAGTGTGAACCTAATTATATACAAATTCTATGACTTTAAAACAATTAAAAAAGTAAAATGATACAATTTGATTAACAAATGGCGATTCTTCAAGTTCAACAATTATTTTTCAATGAGTCTCACAAGTGGTATGTTTATTTACACCATTAGTGTTAAACAATTTTGACATGTTAGGAGCAATGAAAGATTGACTAGTCTTTCTACTATAGTCAAAAAGAATAAATCTGCAGGTACATGAAAAATCCCACAGATTTTGCACAGGAAGACAGTCGTGATTTGCTGTTGTCCAAAACTGTTTTTGGCAGCAGCTGTCTTCCTGTGCAAAATTTGTGAACTCTTTCCCGTACTAATAACATTGTTCAGCCAGAAATGTCCTTTGTGTGTGTGTACACGCTCGCGCTTCAAAAAAAGTAATATGAAATACTTGTGCCTTGTGGGAATCATTGGAGCTGACAAAAGTAACAATTTTGATCTAAAGTTCTTCTAAAGTTTGATCTTTACTCAATATTCAATGGAATCAACGATCCTAGATTAAGGCGTTATTCTCATTTCCGATGCTTGCAATTCATCGTGTTCCTTTCACACGTCATGTCTGCGTATTGCAGAAAAAAAATCCCATAAAATTTATAACACCGATTAGTAAACATGCTGATAAACCACATTCTAAAACACAAAGATGAAAGAAATAATTGGCTTGTCAAATTATCTATCGAGCCACCGGAAAGATTTAGTATATAGACTTACCGTGGGTGTAGTTCAAGTAGATGACAGAGCCAACAGTCCCCAACTGACCCTCGTGCAAATCACATTTCTGAATGTTAGCAGGGCTCATGCCTGATAAATGATGAGGTCTCTCTCTAAAGATTTCATGGAAAACATCCCCATCGGATTTAATATCTATTTGGGAAACCAATTTTCCTTTAATCCCCATTCAAATTTTTTTTTTCCCACAAATATTACAAAACAAACCAGTAGAATTGATTTTGAGGTGAGTGAGTTATGCTTGAAAATGAGGTCTTTATATAGCAGTGTAAATAGTGATGATCTTGATTAAAAAATTTCCAGCTTTGCTTGTTATTATTATATGTAATTGTTTTAAAAAATAAATGTAGGCCATGTATGGCCATACGGTGATGCAACTTTAGCAAACCCCAGCTAGGAGTATGCTAGGCATACATAATGGGTGCCATAGTTAGGATAGTGTTTTGTCGGTTGAGTAAATTTATTTGTTCCCATGATATTTTGAAATAAAATAATAATTTATTTTTCGATAAATTATTTTTATTAGTTTGAATTTCCATTTGTTAATGGATCAATTTGATATTATAAATCAAGTGTCTAAATTATTAAGTATGAAAATATTCGATTTATAATTCGATTTCAGTTTTATTATCCACGATGAGTTAATATAGACGAATACTTTATTTTAATAAAGATTGTCTCAATTTTATTAAGTTTATGTTTGACTTTGGTAATAAGATTGAATTCAATTTGTGAACTTGACAAGTATTTGATTTCACTCTATTCTTGTAGGTAGAACCTTAATCTTGAGCAAATAATGAATTTCAATTACTAACTTTCAGTTTTTTGAGGCATCGATGAGTGAGATCAAATCATTGGTCAATATCGGTACCTTGAGACAAATTAAGTAACCAGAGAACATGTAATCGCAATATGGAATTTGTAACCTATTTAATAGGGACGATAATGACCTCGAGGGATTTAATAGTGGATAGACAATTCTAAGCTAAAAAATTCGATATTGATTGTTAAATTAATAATGTGATGTCAAATGGGTCTGTCAATTAAAAATGGGATTTTAGGATTTATGTATACCTGAAAAAAGGGCACTTTTATCATTTTACCTTGTTTCAAATATATGTCATGGTTTATGAGGATAATACTTAAGAACAATAGGTCATGCGACATAATTAATATTTATATATGGTTTCAGTAATTTCTTTTTATTAAGTTATTGAAGAAGGCCATATGATTTGAAAGTGTGTGTATATATGTATGTGTGTGTGTATATATATATATATATATATATATATATGCTAGGTTTAAGCAACTTGCAATACATGTTTGCTTAGTTTATAT